AGCCTGACCTATGGAACTGACACAATGATCCTAGTGGAAGTCGGAGAAACATCCCACCGGCGCCAAGTTTTCAACAGCGAGCAAAACGCTCAAGAGATAGCAGCCGACCTCGACTTGATTGACGAGCTTAGAGACGAAGCTCAAATCTACGAAGAAGCCTGCAAACTCCGAGCTTCCCGAAGATACAACACCTGGGTGCGACCTCGCTCTTTCCGAGTTGGCGACTTGGTATGGTGATTGCTAGGTGAAGCACGGAAAGACACGTCAGATAGGAAGCTTGCACCCACTTGGGGTGGCCCATTTCGAGTTACAGAAGACTTGGAAAATGGAGCGTACCGACTAGAAGAGCTCAGCGGAAAACCTATACCGTGAACTTGGAATGCTACGCATCTCAAGTTCTATTTCAACTAAATTTGTACGAATGAACTGTGCACTCTTTTCCCGCCTCAGTCTTTTATCCCAAAAAATAGAAAAATGGGTTTTGGCTGAGAGGGTTTTTAACGAGGCACACTTACACAATCAATAAAATGACTCATTCTGTTCAACTCATATTTTCTTAAGTTCCGCATCATTTTATGTTTTATGCTAAATAGAGGTCGAGTTCGAACCAACTTATTTCGCTCTCATTCAAGGTCGAGTTCGAACCTTCGTACAATTCACTCTGCTAAAATTCGAGGTCGAATTCGAACTCCGGCGTGATTAATTCAAGGTCAAGTTCGAACCTTCACGAAAATCCGAGGTCGAATTCGAACCCCGGCATGATTAATTCAAGGTCGAGTTCGAACCTTCACAAAGAGTTATTTAACGAAAATCCGAGGTCGAATTCGAACCCCGGCATGATTAATTCAAGGTCGAGTTCGAACCTTCACGAAAATTCGAGGTCGAATTCGAACCCCGGCGTGATTAATTCAAGGTCGAGTTCGAACCTTCACGAAAATCCGAGGTTGAATTCAAACCTCGGCATGATTAATTCAAGGTTGAGTTCGAACCTTCACGAAAATCCGAGGTCGAATTCGAACCCCGACATATTAATTTTTAATTCTTAAATAATTATGATAAATAAAAACTAAATTAAAAAAGTTTTTACAAATACTCTTATCGAAGAAAAATTTTAAAAAATATTCGTCTCTGATGTATGGGAGTTGTATGGGAGTTGAGTATAAGTAATCTTACTAAATTTGCAAATAATATTACACATGTTTTAATTTCTTTTTTTCTTAATCAGAATAAGATATAAAAAATTATTAAAAACGCTTACCATTTTAGAAAAGGCAATTTTATGTAATTATAAATGTATAATATTTCTCAATCATTAATCAAATTTTACGATAATAATTATTTGAATAAAAATTTGAGCACATGCCACATGTGCCAAAAGCTTTTTTTTTTTTTTAAGTAATGGAAATAGATGCTCTATCGTAGCCAGAGCAGCTATCTTTATATTCTAACAATACTATATACGTCTATTCATACACATGCTTATTAATTTATATTTGTATAATTTGTATTACTCAATTTCAATTTACTTTATTTTATTTTGTTTATGTTTATGTTTTAATTCTACTATCTAACATAAGGTATTAAATATTTAAATCCCACGCGTTTGCTTTTGACCTGACCCTTTTTAAAAAGCTTTTGTTTTTATTTTTTTTTATTTCGAGATTTTAAGTTAGTATTAATTATTATTTTTCAATTAAGTTCAATTTTCAGACACTATTAATTAGATATGCCCAAGCTAAAAGGGAGCAAGACAGCAAGTCATATTTCATGAAATCAACCAACAAGGTCCCACAATTTTGGTAGATCGTCTAGTTAAATTTTGCAATTTTGATTTATATACATTCGAACAACAAATTTCTATTTCTGGTTTTCTATAGGGCTCAAAATGTCAAATAATCACAGGAAATTATGTAAACATATATAAATAAATTTGGCGATATATGGAAATAAGGTTTTGGTGGTTACACGAGTATGGCTGAGTTGTTTGATTTAATTTGGCCAAATCGGTGCCACTTGTGGGTTGTGTACATGCAGTCCACATATTTGAAAGAAATACAAGAATGGCAAAAATTACACCTATATATATTAGATGGAGACTGGAATCTCTGCAAAAGAATTTTTGTACCAAGTTTTTTAAGGCAAAAAGTCACAAATGGGAACTAAAAGCGTGGCTTATATTTTCTACGTACTCTACAGATTTTTATTATAAAAAAAAAAAAAAAAAAAAGCTAGAGGTGTAAATATCTTAAGATTACGAAAAGACTAAGAGGAAGTTATCAATATTAGTCATAACATTTATTAGTCTTAATGGTACATAAATAAATCGAGTTTTCGTTTGGAATTGGATTTGTATGTACCTTAAAACAACTCCAAATTAACTCAGAAGTACCAATGGAACTTCAGAATTATTATATTCATGTTTGCATGTACATTCAGAATAGTAGACGTGGAAGTTAATTATATTAGATTCTGTTTATTTATTTATTTTAGTTTTTACTTTTGACGTGAATTTAAAGTAAAAATGTGAGTTTTTGGAAAGTTAAATGAAAAAAATTCTACTGATGAGTTTATGTATTAACTAATTTAAGATTGTAAAAGAAACTTCATTCATTTTTTAATATATTTATTAAGAAGTTTATTTAATAAAAATTTACATAATATATAATGATCATTACAAAAAATGTTATATATAAAATATCTCACTATAAATATAATTTATGTAAATATAAATCTATTTAATATATATTTCAATACAGTTTTAGTTTAAATTTAGAATGAAAATATGAAATTCAACGATATATATGTATTATATTATTAGAATTTATACATACACTTTTAAACAATTATAAAGATATAATTGTAATAAAAATAGTTTTTAATAATAAATATTAGATTATTATAAAGGATGTCACCACAAGTTTTTTTTTCTTTCATTTTTTAATGCAAATGCATGTTTATGTTTTCTCAATTGTGTTAGTCAACTATTTGGGACCCAACAATGAATAATAATATTATATTAGGTAAGTAAGTAGGTGAAGTTTGGTCAACTTAAATTAATTTCCTAACTTTACCAAAACTGGAGATCTATCTTAATCTTAATTACTTGAATTAGAATAGAATCTACATGCTCGAAACGATAAAGACTAATTACTTTTTTAAGATCTCATTAACTTTTTCACTTGAGAAAACACCTGTCATATGTAAATTTATATATCATTAGAGACACATATAGAAAGGTTAATTTCATTAACAATTATTACAGGACATTTTAGTGTAAAAAATCTAGAGTGGAGTTTAAAATAATAAAATGTAATTAAGGAAGAAGAATATAGAATGCACTTAGGGTGGTGGCATGGAGAAAATAGATGGTGGGATTGAGCTAGGTCGGCAAGTCCCCACCACAGCACCCATATCTATCAAATCAAAAAATTCAAATTGTGAGCTAAGAATTAAGTTAGAAAAAAGTAACATGGAACGGAATCCATTTTCATAGTCAAAAACACGCCATGTAACTTGGTGTGCTAGGCTGGACTTCTCTACCGCCCTCAATCTCTCACCCACACAACTTGCTTCTTAACTCATTAATTCAAATAATTTTCTTACATGTATTATTTAAGTAAATTTTCCCCATTACTTCTTATAAAATTTGACTTAATAAGAGTAAATTATACAGTGTATACCTCTATAAAAAAAATATATATATATATAGTGGACTAGAATAGGGTAAGGTAGACTTTTCTACCGTCCTCACTTCCTCACCCACACAACTTGTTGTCTTTTGTTTAATACCTCTTATCACCTTCTTTTCTTCAACTTTTTTACAAGTTGAGATTATTTTAGATTATTATATCTCTAATATTTCTTTTTAAGTCTTCATATTAACAAAACTATCAAATATTAATAATTTTACATTTGATTAATTATACTACTTATATAACTTTTGGTTAACAAAAATTAAAACAATTGGTATAAATTTTATATATTTATACTATAACTGTAATAATGTTAATATACCCAACTCTAATTGATAAGGAACTTACTTTGCACTTTAACTCTCCAACACTGTAAATCTTTTTTGCATGTCACGCTTCCTCTTCAAGCAGAAGTCTTATTTTATGCATGAGTATTTAATGGTGACCTAACTACTATCACACATCAATGGGATACATCCTCCACACCTCTAGGAGACTTTTAATATAACGGATGATCTCACTCTTGGACTTCATGTCAATTCCATTATTTACAATCTCACTCTTCAATATCTCCTATTAATTCTAAAAGAAAATATAGCTCCATAACATATACATGCGAAATAATAGGATCTATTTGCATATAAATTATATTAAGTTTGTGATAAAAACTTGTAAATATATCTGCTAGCGAACTGTTGAATCATAAAATTTTTCCTTATTAATGAGAATAGTACTTCAAGTGTGTCCTCTATCATACTATTAGCTTCTCTTCAATAATGTGAAGATCTTACATGTATCCACACTGAGACGAACCTCTATTTTTCAAACACTTTAAAAAAATGAAATAAAAAATAAAATGCTTAAGAATTATATGTGAGAAAGGAGGTAGAAGAGATAGTAGAAAAACACACATTTTTTCTATGCAGTAGAAAGTCATACTTATAGCACAATAAAGATCTTATTTTCCTAAAATTAGGAAACTAATAACATATTTTATTTTGGTTTTTCAAATAAAAACAATATCAAATATGTATCTTTAAGAGATTGTATCTTTTTTTTATAAAGATTCATATTTTATTTTATTTTTCAAATAAAAACAATATCAAATATGTTTCTTTAAGGATTTTCATCTCCTCTTATTTATTCGTATAAATAACATTGATCAAGTTTAATACTTTAATCATATATTCTTTACCAACTACTTTCTCCAATTTGAAATTCAAAAACATTTCAAAAAATTATGTATACTCTAAGTGCTCGCAAAGAATATAATAATATTTCACTTTAAATTATTTAATTTGATCAAATTAAATACTCTTATTTAATAATTAAATGCTAAAATAATTTTTTTAACAGAGATTAGAACACTCGTTTGTGTGTAACCCTGTAAGTTCAATACTAAGCTGGTAATAGATTAATCAAATTAATATATTAATCAAGGTAGGCATCTATCAATACTCTTTAAAGCCCAGATAGTATGAAGTAATATTTTACTTTCAAGAACTTAGAAGAACATATAATATTTTTCTTCCATTGTTACATCTCTTAGTTAACTCTAAATATGGTATTATCGTCAAACTTCATTAAGTTAATCTATCACAACTGACTTGAAAAATTTATTTCTTCTTTCAATCAATTTTCCTGGTTAGGATATTATTTTATTAATAGAGCTCAAACTCATTACCAAGAGTTGATGGATTCCTTCTTGAGTTATCATTAATTCTATAAGCATTTGATCATATTCAATATTCATTCAATTAGTACTCTAAGGCATTAAGTGTCCGAAATAAAAATATAATAAATTACTTGTTAATCACTATGATAATCTCGTGTTAAAGAAAAACATTTAGTTTCTTCTTGAGAAATTTCTATTGACGAATTAAGGTAATGTAAACTATGAAATTTTCAATTGAGTCAGTTCATCAAATGATCATACTCAAATATGCATCATCTATATATGTAATTAATAAATGAGATATATTAATCTTTATCCTATAAATACATTCACATATATATTGATCTATCTGGATTTATTGATGTCCGATATACAATAATCATGTGATCAAGAACAATTTAGATTAAAATAATAATAGACTTTTACTTCTCATTATTATCATAATCTTTATTATGAAAACAAGTCTAATTTTAATCAAGGACTTTATGAATTTAACAAAATGAAATTAATAACACTTTATCAATTTGGATATGATTACATGATGAATTGGATCTTGAGCATATTTAATTATTCTCCAACAAATTCCATTATCTAAGATCTCATTCTTGAATCCTTTCTATTGTCAATTCCATTAGTCAGTATTCGTTTGAGTCAGTTATCAATCACTTGGTTGATCGAACCATCAGTTCTAATACCATTTTTGGGGAGCTTTACATTGGGGAACATTCAATTCTTGAGTAGTGTATAAGTGAGTTTGACACATATTTTTATTTTATATAAAAGTCATTATAACAATTTATTTTTATTTTTTTATATATATAGTACACTAAACTATATTTTATAGAATTTTTATTTTTTTATCTGAAATTAAAATAAAGTTTAGCTTAATTTTTATAAAAATTAGTTCAATTTTTATAATTTAATTTAATTTTCAAAATAATTTTATGAAGACCCTATATATCCGTCAAGTCCCGTTACAATCCCTATTAGCATCTTAAGTCCAGCGTAGATCGAGAGCCTAAATGAACAGTTAGCACATGTTGGTTGAATGATGTCACTTTATTAAAAAACATTAAATTATTAATATTAGTGGCTCAAGTAAATGCACGTACGTAATTTAACATGTCGGTCTTGGCAAGCTAGGACGGACCTTTGTAATTCAATTTCATTTTTTTTAAATAATATAACTTTTCCATTTACCTTTCATCACACTATTAGTTGTCACCAAAATTTATATTAAAACATGTTTTACAACTGCAAAAATAATTAGCTACACATAATTTTCCTTTTCACTCACCTTTCACCAAACTACGACAGTGAAATGCCAACTTTTTAAACTCGAGGATGGTCTTAAAAAAAAGTTACACATTTTGGTGTGGCAAAATATCGTCCACAATGCATGAAGTATTTAGTCGGTGATGATTTGCCACAGCACAAAGTGATTTGCTTGGACACTACTCGCAAAAGGCATTATCTTTCTACATTTAGAATCAAGCATAATTATTAAACAATAGACTATGGAAAAAGAAACAATCAATTAGGATTAGAACTCCACTCCTAATCCACTTCTAATGCTCCAAACAAAGGCTTGGGGTGGGGTTAATCAATTATTATATTCGAAACAGTTTATAATGCGTGGGGTTAATCAACCCAGATCAATGTCCAAACAGGGGAACAAGCACGCGTGACGTGAACCTCTTAATGTGCTAAAATTAAGCAATTTAATTCATTACATATTAAAAAAGTATGAGATAACAAAACAAAACAGAAAAGAAAAAACAAAATGAAAAGGTGAAAACAATTTAAAGAATAAAAAGGAGGCAAAATTGGGTACTTACACAATCAAGTAAACCCCATGTATAAAACTATAATTAAATAAAAACTCTAAACTTAGCCTTTGAAAAAGTCTATTGATAATAATCTGTTTGAAATTCATCCAATGTTGGTGGCAAGGCAGGCAATGTCACTTCATTTTGGTCATTCTGAGATTGAACAGGAAGATTCTGCAAGGTAGATTCATTGGGCCGAGTGGCCCAATCCACTAAATCACCACTTAGTTGACTAGACCAATCATCAATCACAATGGGTCCATTAACCAAATTGGCCAAGTCACCAACCTTATTAGACCAGTCCAAAGACTCCCCTACTTGATAAGTTGAATCTTGAGGAACTTGAGGAATATAAACTTCATTAGTAAAATTTACCATCTCATTTCTTTCCGTGATTCTCTTCAAAACTTCAACTGTAAATTGATCTCTAGAGTTGTTTTGCAAGAAATTTGATTGACTTACATGTGAGGAGGTACCTCTTTCCTGAACCATGCTTGGCGTGTAATTAAAGCAAACATCACCATGTTGCATGTTTCTGAATATGTTATTAATTCCATGATCAGTACCTTCAGCAACCTGATTAGTTGTATTTGCAAAATCCACCCTCCCATTATTATCATTAAGTAGTTGCTCCATCGAGATGGCTTGGCTTTGAGAAATGTTGTGCATGAAATTGAGTTGGCTTGGGTGAGAGGAGGAAGCACTTGCATGACCCATGTTTGGCATGAAACTAAAGTTGCCTTCACTTTGATGCATGTTTCTTGCCATGTTGATTTTATGATCACAAGCTGCAATCTTGGCGTCCACTAAAGAAATGAAAGCATTCAATTGCTCAGCTCCCATGTTTTTGAAACGAGGATCCCAAGTTGGATACTCGATGTTTTTGATCTTTTTGTGCACTTTGGAAATCTCGGTCTCAACCATGTTCTTCCTATTATCAAAGAAGTCTTGAATTTCAAAGATCTTGGGAGTTCTTACTTTCTTTTGATGCTCGTAGTTTTCAATGATGGAACGCACCATTGTGGGGTCTTGGGGCCAAGTGACTGGTGCAGCATCACCATCGGCATCATCATACACAATCAAGCACGCTTTAGCTCTACACAAGGTCGAAAACTCGGCAAGTTTTTTCATTAGTCCTTTCTTTCTCTGCACCAAAGTTGTCCTCCGAGCTCTTTCACTTTTAATAGGTTTCAAAGTTATTCTTTCACGGCCCATGTTTCTACAAAAAATTATCAAGATCGTTTAGGAATAACAACAGCAACAAATATTAGTCCTTACTGGAATGTGTATAAAAATGTAAGAAGGTATGATCAATATATATTAAAACTAGCAATTACATGTCTAAAGAGCATGCAAATAGAGTTAACAAATTCCAAATAATTCAAGCTTTAAGGTGGGCCTAAAACTCATATTCCACACCTGTGTGTCCTTTAACATTTTAATTTTCGGAAAATAATTAAACTCAATACTATATATATGGGATGAACAAAGTGAAAGAAAGAACCCTGAAGCAATGACACTGTTCTTCAATCCCCAGAAATTGAGTGTTCAAGAAACCACTCGAATACGCTTTGTTGTCCTGTCCTTTTTTCTTGTTTACGCGAGTTTTTTGTGATTTTTAATTGTTAAGTTTCCGAGTATATATATTAGTTTGTCCTAGATTACCGCAATAAAATTATGATTTATTTATTTCCTATAATGTGCATTTCAAATCATATTTGAATTTATTAGATATTTACCTTCATTGTTTCCGTATTTATGCATTATTATCCTATTAATTATTCTATTAACATCAATCTCCTACATATTCAATCAAAATAAATAAGGTAATTTTACCACTGCAGAATCCATGTTCAATCTGTATTCAAATTAAAATTAGTGGGACACTAATTATAATTGTAATATTTTATTTCAAACAACTTTTTTTTCTCTCTCTCTCTCTTTTCCTGCCGTTAGATTTGGACTTGCAAGTTGCAAGACCTTGTAGTTTTTGTTTTTTTTTTTTCAACTGCGGGAAATATATACGTTGCTGAATACAGATATAGGTTTATCTTTATACCGTCTATAGTCACAAATTTACTAAGGGGTTGTATCGCATTTGTACCAATTTTATTATAAAAAGTGTTGTGGTATTTAATAAGAATTTTTTAATATAAAAAATTTATATAGTATTTGATTAAAAAAAATTCATTTTTTTAAAGAGTATATGAAAATATGATAGTATTCAATGAAAGCAATCAAGATTTTTAAGAATTGTATTTGCATTGTATTATGATTTTAATAGATTTTAAAATATTTTTTTTTTATAAAAAAAGTCTCGTGATATTCAATCAAAATCTTTTAATATAAAAAATTATATGATATTTATGAGTATATTGAATTAAGATTTTAAAAGATTTTTTTGGTTGAAAAAAGTCCTGTGAATTTTAAAAGACTTTGCAGGATTTTCATAACTTTTAAGATTCTGTAAGATTCCGCAAGACTTTCAATCAGGATTTTAACAGATTTTGCAAGACTTTTAAGTTAAGGTTTTAATGGATTCTGCGGAACTTTGTGAATTTTGTAAAATTTCAAAGATTTTTTTTGACATACGATAAGAGTTCAAGATTTTTTTTTTCATACATTCAAATTTAAAAAGAATCAAAGACAAAAATAATTAAAAAAATAACAATATCTGGATAAATAATAATAATAATAATAATTCTTCGTAATATCATGTCCTTCTGAATAGTATTTACCCACATATCTATATTTATACTAGTTCTCCAAGTATTAACATTTTTTCGCTCTTACTCCTGAGTTTTAATAATAGGCTCAAAATTATAATTTTCATTAACCAATAATGTTGGAGATGAATGTTCGTCTACAACTACAATTGAAAATTCATTAAAATGACATTCTTTACGAAGAAAGTTATGTAGTGCTACACATGCTAAAAATTATTCTAAACAACATTTCAAATTTTTTATAATTTGTGATTTAAAATATTTTGTTTATAAATTTATAAATGATTAAAAAAATAATGGGACGGCTACCCTATTCTCTTATAACTAAATATGTCCCTTCATTTTATATTGATATTTGAGTGAAAGTTTGTCTTTCATATACTTTTATTCATTTAAAATATCTTACAAATTTACAAACATCAACTAGGAGGAAAAAATCTGAAATTTGTTATAGTTACAAAATAATTTTTTAATTTTTTAATTGCTTTCATTGTGAATAAATATTTTTAGTATTGAATTCTAAGATACTGCAATGTATTATGTTAATTTTCTTTTTTAAAATATAAAAAATCCTAATTTCACAATAAAAAAAATTAAAAAATAAAATTCATAGTAAAAAAAATAATTGTTGAGTCATAAAAGGGGAAGAATAACAATAACAAATTCAAGAGAGGGAGAAAGATCGCAATTTTTGTGTTGAGAGGGTTCTTCTTCCAACTAAGATTTATTCTTATCTCATTCTACTCACAGAAATCCTAACTCAAATTCATCTTTTATATATATATATATTTATAGTAAATCTAAATTGATTATAAGGTTTTCAAGATCTACAGTTTATTATAGAGATCATGATATCAATTTTAGCTTTTACCTTTTCCCTTTTTTTGACACATGTTATAAAAAAATTACTACTTAAAAGTTGAAATTTCAAGTATTTTTTAGATTATATAACTAAGAAACAATCTCAACTAATAGAGCAAAATAGAGCAAGTCAATTAAAGAGAACAGAGAGAAAAATAGAGCAAGTCAATGACATTATCATTTATGTATAGAAGTTTCACCAAATAGGAGAATAGAATGAAAACAATAGTACAATATTATATATGAGTAATAGTGCAATATTATTAGCAAGAGAAAAAAAATGGAGAAGACATGAGCATAAAAAAAATTCACTTCAAACAAAATCTTCCAAGATCTGATGGGTTTGGATGAGATTGTTTTATGAATTTGATATTTGTAGATACTACTAAAAAGTCCTTCAAAATCCTTCTCATACAACAATTCTTTAAAATCCTTATAGTTTTGAATACCAATGAAATGTTTCTAAGTTGTAAAAAGTCTCAAATGAATACCAATAAATTATAATGAACTCTTAAAAAAATCTTAAAAATCCAAATTGAATATCACTAAATTACTTTTAAGTGATATAAAATTTTGATCAAATACCAACAGACTTTTTTACTAAAAAAAAATCTTTTAAAATCCTATGAAATCCTAAACCAATACATCCCCCTTAATTAAGACAATCAAAATATTATAGATCCTATGAAACTTCTTATTAGAATTTATATACAATCCACTAATTCAATAATCTCGTCAAAACTTTTGAGATTTTACATTTTTTTTTCTATTTCTCATTCTTTTTTTTTTGTCCCCTCAATTTTGTGTCTCTCTTCTTCTCAATCTCTTTATTCATCTATCTCATTTATCTCCTTTTTTTTCTTGTCTCTATTTTTTCCCTGATCTTTTTTTATATACCAATATTCATGTATAGTTAGTTAATCAATGTTTTGTTATTTATTAAATATTTAAAATTATTAAATATAATCTATTATTAAATTTTTTTAATTATTAAAGTTTAACTAATATTTCCAATTAAATTTAATATTCAAATTTCAAAAATTTAAATATATATTTTTAAAAAATTGTATATTGTGAAAATTAAATATTAGAAATTTAAAATTTTTGAATTAAATTATCCAATCAAAACAATTAAATTTTTAAGCATCTAAACTTTTAAATTTCCTCATCCAATAATAACTTAAGAGATAAAAATTAGTATGTGAAATGTACCTTTGAAAAAGATTAAAATAAAAAAATTGAACCTTGAGCGTATGTGATTATGAGTGTAACTATGAGAGTGAAAGTTTGAATTTATTTTTTTGATCTATCAGAATTATAACTGTGGTGACACCAAGATTAGAACTTAAGACCTTGTATATTCAACCTCAACCCTCTCACCACTGGATGGACCATAATAATTTATATCAATATGAATATAATTAAATTAACTAATATGTGTGTGTATAACTTAAAAATAATTATTTATTTTTAATAATTTCACGTGTAATTTAAAAAAAAAAACCATCAAACCAAATAGATCAAATTTCAAATTAATTTTTACTGGTTCAAACAAACCTAATTGGTCATACCACTAGGGTTAGCCTAGTGCTTGGGTGGGGAAGGGTTGAGATAGTTAGAAGCATGAGGACCTAGATTCAGTCCTCATTGCGACCATCTTTGTAATAAAAAAACAAACCTAATTGGTCCATCAGATTTTTATTTTTGTACCTAAAAGTAAAGAGCTTGACCTAGCAGGCTAACAAGTCAGGTCAATTTTTATGTCTCCGATTAAAAAACATCATAAATTAAAACATATTTATCAAATTCAATACATAAATGAAAAAATATCCATGCATGAATAACTATATGTAAAAAAATATTATTTAGAAGAGCATAAAATTATAATGAATTATTTACTAAAAGATTAAAAAAATATTAATTTTATTTTCTTTATTCAAATCTTATCATTTATTTATATATATATATATATATATATATATATATATTACCCTTTGAAATCTCATAAAATCTTATAAATTCTTATGGTATAAACCATTAAAATCCGTATTACAAAATCTTGATTATAAAAATATTTTAAAAAAAATCTTAAAAATTATTATATTCTTATAAAATCTTTTAAAATTTACATGATTTTTTTTATTCTAAAATAACCTTATGAAATTTCAATCCAGTAAATATCCAAATTAAATTTATTTTTACTATAACTATATAGGGTCAAAATAATTTATATTGTGTTTATAATTCCAAACATAATATTCTATTGTCATCAATGTTATTCAATTATACATTAAATAATATAAATTACTTCGATTATTTATGATATAAATTTTTGAACTCAATCAAGTCACGAACCACCCTTTATTTCTAGTTGCAATTCCAAGTTCAAGTCAATGATCAAATGCAATCATTGATCCAAAAGTGTCAAATTATTTATGATAAAGGCTTTCTGTTAATATTTTTATTATTAAATTAAAGTAAATGGTCTTTCTAATCTTTTAATTTGGAAGATAATGTCGTGTTTGTATCTAAAATTTAGAATGTTAAATGAATTGTTGAAAGTGCAAATTAATAATATTATTATCTAATTTATTTTAACTAAAAAAACACTTGCGACTAAAGTGATAATGTAGATATATATTTTAGGAACCAAAATAATATATATATAATAAGTTTTTAAATTTAAAAACTTATTTAATACTTTCTTAATTTTAAAAACTAATGTCATTATGTTTTTATGAACTAAAATGATTGTTTATTATATATATATATATATATATATATATATATATATTGTATAAAAAAAAATTATGTTAACAACTATCGTTCAACTCTAAATTTTCATGCATCTAATCTAATCTCACTAAATATAATTTTACTTGAATAACATTAAAATTTTAATTAATTTATACATTGGACAGCTCTATGACCTTTTTTTTTATTTTTTATTTTTGTCTTCATAGTCTCCATTTTGTTTCCTTGAGGGCTCATTGGGTTAAGGCCCATCTTCTTCTCCAT